TGAATCCATACTATATGTTCTGTGCCAGCCCAAGCACATACACACGAGTGTGTGTGTGTGTGTGTGTGTGTGTGTGTGTGTGTGTGTGTGTACATGCGCGTGCACACACACTCACGTGCATTAGCCCAGAGGGCTGCCCTCACACCACACAGAGGGTTGCAGCTCCAGGCTGCAGGGGCTGCTGACAGCAGAGTCGCTGTGCTTTGGAGGGAGGCAGGAGGGAGGGAGGAGGCTTGGAGAGTGTCAGTGTGTCTCAGCCTGTGTGGGGGCGCTGGTGTGGGGGTGGAGGGCTGCGGCATGCACCAGAACATGTGCCTGCTTGCTGCTCTGATGTTGCGGAGAAGCCGGGGAAGGCTGTCCCTTCTCCTGTCCTTGCACCCCTCTCTCCCTGCCGTCCAGGACCTGTCTCCCCGTCGCCCATCCTTTGGCCTCCAGCCCCTCTCGTTGCAGCCTCGGACAGATCACCACCCTCCAGGAGGCGTCTCCATCTGTACAGTGCACAGACAGTCTCCACAGCCCACCCAGTGTGGGAGCACAGGATCTGAGGGAGGAGGCCACCGAGGGCGTTTCAGACATCTCCAGAGACAGGACCCCCATTTTACTGACGGTAAAGTTAGAGCGCGCACAAAGGACAAGTGATTCACCCAAGGTAGCCCAGTAAACTCAAGGCCGAATTGCGGCCAGAAAATGAACACCAGCTCATCATTATCCCCCTCACTGTCCCCTGCCACCACCACCAAGACCACACTGCCCTTTGCCCCTGGCGCATGGGCAAGAGGAAAGCTCTTTCACAGATACAGCAACCCGATGGAGCCTTGCTCAGCAACCTTCCATGGACCAGGCCACAGTCCCTAGAGCTTTCCTGCCACCTCCTTTAGCCTCAGTCTGCTCATCTGTAAAATGGATCCATAAGCCCTGCCCACTTCGCTCGGGCATAAGCTAATGGACAGGAAGGTACCATGAGACCCAGCGAGGCTGGGAGAAGGACTTGGGTGCAGAATGACCCTGACTCTAGGTGGGGCTCTGGTGTCTTAGTGTCCTCTCACCATGACAGTGCCCATTTTTTTTTTCCAGCTCTGCAGGGAAAGGGAAAATGGCCGAGCACACGCTACAGGGCGTTAGAGCTTGAGTCCCAAAGAGACCTTGTGCATCCAGCACCTAGAAACCCGATGCAGGGAGCTGCCTCCAAGCCAGGCCACCACCCACGGGTCGGTCCACCCGAGCATGGTACAGGATGAAAAGCCATGGAGAAAGGGCTTTGGGCTCAGGGGCCAGCCCCCAAGTCCCTGTCAACCTGTGGCCACCCACACTCCCACCAGCCTCCTCTCCCCTGCACTGCCTGAGTCAACTTCAGATCCCTGTTTCTAGAGAGAAAAGAGTGGGCTGAGCTCTCTCCTCCCTCCTCTCTCTCCTCTCTCTCTCTCTCTCTCTCTCTCTCTCTCTCTCTCTCTCTCTCTCTCAAGTAAAATCTCCTCCTGAGGTTCTTTCTGTCCAGAGCAGCAATTGTAAGACTCTCAGAGCAAGGCTCTGCCTCGCTAACCTCTGCAGGTCAGGGCAGATGGAGGCCTGGGAAGGCCTGGCTAGAGGAGGCTTCCTACCTCGGGGTCTGCCTAAGCTCTCTAGGGCATTCCTTCCTTGCCCGTCTCTACCCCCCCACACACCATCACTATCCCCCTTCCTGCCTTTCTATTGATTCTGGATGTCAGAGGAGGCTGAGTGAGTGGAAGGGAACTCTGGGGGCTACCCTGGCCCACCCTGGCCCTGCAGCTGGTACTGCTGCCCACTCCAAGCAAGGGCTTCCATCCCAGGGAGGAAGAAGGGAGTGAGCTCATCTCTGGGTCCCTAGAAACAGCCCCATCTTAACCCGTTAGAGGACCCAGAATCAACTTCTTAGCTTCTCTGAATTTATGTGCTTCAGTGCCCGGGTATAGAGGGGATCTTCAGTCTGGCAGCATCTAGAAGTTCCAGAAACCCCTATTCAAGGCTTTATCCAGGCAGGAGAGGGAATCTCTGCTTACACCCTAGGCTCCTCGAAGGCCACTGGTGACAAGCCAGTCTTCCCTGGGCAGAATGCCAGGAAGTCTTCGTGGAGTGCTAACCCTCTTCCATGCTGTGGCAATCCAAGCCCTGATAGGGGTTAACCAAAGTCTCTTTTTAGGTAACCAGCTGGTTGTGTGGACAGAGTTCTGGGTGGGGGTTCTGGGTAGCCACACAGTGTCCTAGCTAGAAGGCACAGGATCACCAACTAAAGGATGAACTCTGCAGACAGACTTCTTCATTGCTTCCGTCACGGAAGAAGAGCCCGAGAAGACCTTGACCAACATTTCCCCCTCAACAGGATACCGTCTACACAAAGGTTGAACATTGAGAAGGCTCTGCCTCCTCCTCTAGGCTCGCCCAATCCTGGAGGATAACAGCCACCCGAGTTATCCTGCCAGAGGCCCACTGTGTGTCAGCCAGGCTTGCGGCTATGTCTTCACACACCATCTGTACAATCTTCACAGCCCTTTACAGCTCCAGCTTGCAGGTCAGAAAGAGTGGCAGCCCACCCAATGTCACAGAGCTAAGGGTCACGTGGGGCAGCCCCTCCCTGAACATCCACACCTCAGTTCAGACTAAGGCTAAGGTGCAGAGCAAACGCCATCGGACGCGCCCTCCATGGGGTACCCTGGCCTGTGTTACTCAAACAGCCACAAAGCTGGCCCAACACAACCCCTTCCCCGTGGCACAAGTGCAGGTCCATGCACAGTCTCCTAAGGTCCCACATGCTCTGACCCTGCATGCAACATTTTGTAGGTTTATGCATTTTTCTAGGGAATATCTATTTAGGCTTTCACCAGATTCCTGGAGGAATAAATGACCTAAAAAAAAGGTTAAGAGCACCAATAGTTCTGCAAGGAAGAGGTCTGAAATTGATTGGACAAGGCCTGGGCATCCCTGCCACTCTTGGTTTTCCTGCCATGGCCGTACCACTGTTCCTGGTCCCTTAAAATTCTGCCCCTACCCTAGCACCTCTTAGCATCCAGGCAGGCAGAGGGACTGAGAAGGCCAATCAGGCACATGAGCTCAGTACTAATGATCCCCCATCTCTTCTCAGAGCAAAAGAGCACTTTGCGTTACTCTGATCCCTGGAATCACATCTCAACTCCATTTCATTGTGCTCTGTGACGCAGTCCCTGCCAGAAACAGCTGGAGTGGCTCCTGAAAGGTAGCTCCTGTCTATTCAGGAAATCCTTAGGTTTCAGGTGCACACTAGACATACTCTGGAAAAGGGGTCCCAGATAAAGTTAAGAGGCATTCCTCCAGAGCAGCCTTAAACATTGTATTCCTGCCCCCCAACACAAAGACACGCAGAACAGCAGGAAGTCTGGAGACAGACGTGAACACACATTTGCACAAGGGAGCCAGGCTATGTGTAGGTGTCTGAATAATCTAAGTGTGTGTGTGTGTGTGTGTGTGTGTGTGTGTGTATTATTCAGGGGCTATGCTTAGACACAGCCATAGGTCTACCTCCCACACATATGTAGACACCAGCATAAGCTCACACATGCCCACACACCCACATGAGCCCATGAGTCCAGGCAGGCCTCACACAGGCATGCACACACACACACACACACACACACACACACACACACACACACACACACACACTTCCTGTACATATTCCTCAAGATACATGCACACTCAAGAACATTCTGTCCATATTTCTTATCTGTGACCTTATACACTTTATATACACACTCATGTTCACTGATATTCACACAGCTCTGCCCTGCCACACATGTGCACACAGATGCATGTCCATACTTTCGCTGCAATCTAACCAGGAGCATCCCTTGCATAACTGTGCACACACACACACACATCCTTGCAGGGCACACTGACATTTTTAGGCTTTCCACACAAATGACACACTTGCACATCTCTTCGTGGTTTACTTGCACCAGTATTTGCATGCCTTTTCAGTTCACACTGTGCCCAGCGTCAGTTCTTATACAACTCCATCTGCTCCCCATGGAAGTCATATATAGCTTCTCCTCAAAAATGTTCACTGGTACATGCATCTCCGCATCTCACACTGGCACACATCTGTTCACAGGGCCCCTTGTCTCATATCCCTACTGCTACAACAGGGCCCGAACAGGGCTGGTACCGGTACTTCTGCGTCCCTGGGGCACTCTGCCAAACTGCTCCCCAACTCCTGATGCATCCAGGACCCCCACAAGCCCCGCCGGGAACATCTAGAAACCTTCCCTTATATCTGTAGCCTGCTGATCTACCCCAGGGAACCTTTCTCTTGTCTGCTTCCCCACCCTTCTCTCAACATCGGGCACAACACGATGGGTAACTTTGCCAAAGGACCACCGTTTCTAGTGCACAGCCTGCTGCCACAGTGGCATCCCCCTGCCCCAGCTTGCTGATAGTTCCTCCCCTCCTCCCAACACCACGATCGCTTTCACGTTAACCCCTTCGGTACCGGAGCCCTTGCTCCTGGTAGGGAACTTGGGAAGGGGGAAGGGATGTGCCACTCTGCACAGTGTCTGAAGTCAGGGCCTCCAGGTGGGTGGTGGTGAACTCTCTGTCACGACAGGCATCTAAGTTCAACTACAGAAAAGATTCCAGTCTGGACCCAGCCAAGTGGGAAAAATCCCTTTTAAATCCCAAGTTTCTAAGAATCTTTGGGCACCCAGGTCATGTGTACTTATGTACATAGTTGTGTGCATATACCGTCAATCTGTTACCCTTTAAACACACACACACACACACACACACACACACACACACACACACACACACACACACACACAAAACCAGGCTATGTCAACATAAATGTGTCAACGCCTGACTCTGGACACTCTGTGCACACACAGTGCCCCCAAATCATGCAAAACACCTCCCTCTGCATGCACCAGAGAGCTCCAGTCACACAGGCACACGCCCCCTGCCCGAGAGGCTGATCCCCCATGCCCTCCAAGACTCCCTGAGGTGTGACTCACTTTCCTAGTTCTTCAAAGAGCTGGTACTCTTCTGTGAATCGGGTGCAGGTGATGGTGGCCATCCTTGCACTGGGCAGGCAGGCAGGCGAGGCGTTAGGCTGAGAACTAGGACTGGGATGCTGCTGCTCTGCTCCCAGAACTAGGGGCCCGCTCGCCTGCCCGTGCTCCTGAGTGCGAACGGAGAACCGGCTTGACTGACGAGCTTGGGGCTTCTGAGCAGGGCACTGTGGCTGCTCACAGCCTCGCGAGCCTTCGTCAGCATCCAGGTCCCCATGGCAACCACCTCCGAAACGCCCTGTTCCCGTTGCCCCGGTAACTGCCTCCCCAACACCTGCCTGCCTTCCACTTCAAAACCTGCTCCTGTGTTGCCCTGGCTCCCCCCCCCGCGCCCCCCTATACACAATACTGCAGGACTGTGTGGGCTCAGGAGCAAGTGGACCCCGTTTTCCCAGGGTGATGTGCTGAGGGGGATGGAGAAAGGGAAGAGAACAAACTTAGTCCGCAAGTGATCTTCTCTCTTCCTACCTCCCCCACCTCCAACTATAGGGCCCTTTTAAACAGACGGGATGGGATTAAGTGGGGCAAAGAGGCAGTTGCTATGGTAACGGCTAGTGGGTGCCACATTCTGGGATGGTCCTTGAGAAAGACAGGATGTAGTTACCCTGGCAACTTCATCTCCTCTAGAGAGACAGGTATTGCCCCGTTGCCCTGGCAACAGCTGGGTTCTAAGGTTTACAGGGGAGTGATGGCTAATTCATCTCTCTCCCCTTCCCTTCCCCCGGTAGTCTCTGCCGTCCCTCTGTTCCCTCTGGGAACTGGTCTGGTTGACTTGGCCTCTGCCTCTGTCCTTATTTTGCTCCTGCTCTTCCTGCTTTTTAGCCACTGTGTGTATCACACTGTCACTCCAGCTCGGGGAAGAAGTACAGAGCAGACCCAGGACTCTGGCTCTGGCTGCCTTTTCACCCCTACCTGTCACCGCTGTGCAGCTGGGCCCCTCCTGAGGCCTCTTCCGCCAGCCCTCCCCACCCATGCCCCTAGAGGGACCTTGCAGATTTGGTCTCCTGGGGCTCCTGTCCCAGTTTCTGCTTGTGCTTCATGTCAAGGTAGAATGGGAGAGAGGCAACTCTAATGAGGTGAGCATGGCCTGGCTCACCCAGGGCTGGGCCAGTGGCGTGGATGTGGCCTGCCCTGGAGTCTTCTCTCCCGAACTCTAGTCATTTTTCCCGATGAGCTCACCTGTTCAGTGCATCAACCACACCGGCAGCCGCAAATCATGCCCCAAGGCAGAGAGTTTAAAACTAGTGATCTGAGTTCGAGTTCCAGCCCTGGCACTTCCTAGCTCTGTGACCCTGGGCAAGGCGCTGAGGAAGCTCTCTGAGTCCCCATATCCTTTTCTAGAAAACAGGAAGGAAGTCATCCTTGCAGAAAATGCCCATAAAGATGCAATGGCCTAAGGCCATAAATGGGCTCTGGGAAGTAGGCAAACCCGAACGGTTCTCAATTTCCAGAAAGCAAAAAAGGAAGCTTGAAAGTGAGTCCATGGCCACTCCTACAATGCAACCTGGTCTTGAACTCCCCATCCCTTCCAGTCAGGGGAAAAAAAAAGGGGGCCTCAGTGTGTTTCACAGGTGGCTGTGCAGAGGTCTCATGCCAGCATTTGTCCCCAGTGAGCAAGGGACAGATAAAAGGACCTGGAATTGCAAATTCGCTCAGTTTCCAACTTGCCCCTCAGAATCCATTCATCACTGTATTGCTCACCTCACTTGTGGACATAGTAGTACCTTCGATGATTCTCCAATGCCAACAAGTGTCTGACCCAACTGGGGGAAGGGGACCCTGGAGACATGGGGGGGGGGGGGGGGGGGGGACTCTATCCCTCTTCCTGAGAGTCAGTGGAAGATTGAGGGAGAGCTGTTCAATTCAGCCACTTTTCTCAGGAAAGAAAAAAAAGAGGGGGGAGGTGGAGGGGAGGGAGGGAGGCGAGCCAGGGAGGAGGGGGTAATGGCTTAGCCACTAATTGCGCCATTACCACCTTCAGAAAAGGAAAAACCCGCTCAGTTTTGTTTCTGCACACAATACGCTTCCCGCTTCTGCCGCCAACGTGGCAATTCAGAGGCAGAGCAGAGAGGCCCGCGCTCGCAGGGCTGCACAGCTGGTGGGTAGCAAGCAGGCACAGAACACCATGGCCAAGGCGAGCGGCACCGGAGGAAGGCAGAGGTGGGGGAGAGCTTCCATCCTCCTGCCTCAGACCCTCCAGCCCAGCGGGTCTCAGCCTTCCTAATGCTGCGATCCTTTAATACAGTTCTTCACGCTGTGGTGAGCCCCTCCCAACCATAAAATTATTTTCATTGCCACTTCAGAACTGTAATTTTGCTGCCGTTATGGGTCATAATGTAAATATCTGTGATTTCTGATGATCTTAGGCAACTCTTGTGAAAAGGTCATTTGGTCCCCCAAAGGAGTCGTGACCCAAGGGGTTGAGAACCACTGTTCCAGCCTGTTACCAGGAGAATTCCCGGGACCACCCAGCCACTGCTCAGGGGAAACAGTGTTGAACAATTATTAGTGGCTAAATGACTTACAGGCTGTGATTTTGAGTCAGTGTCCTGACTTCTCTGGACCTCTTCAAGTGCAAAATTGGGTAAATGATGCTCCTCACCTGTAAGGCTGTTTTGTGGCTGAAATGAGATGAACCCAGCGGCTGATACAGAAGGAATTATCATTAAGGAATTAGAAATCCTCCCTGGACCGTGGAAGCACTTTGGGGCACTGTTCTCGGAGACCTTGCTGGGGTTTAGCTCATGGTAGACATTGGCCTGGCATTGGCCTTATTTGCAATAATTCCTGCAAAACAAACGTCAAGGACCGAAAAAGAGGTCGCTGGGACCCTCACTTATTAGGGCCCAAGGGCATGGCAACTGCTTGAAAATCAGTAAAACACTAAAGGGAATCGCTAAGGCTGTAACCATGGAAATGTAACCCTGTGAACAGAGGTGGCCATCCTCTCAGACCAGTGCTGGCCTGGCCGCTGCTCCTGTTTCTCCTCTCGGATGAAATGCAATGCTTGCTTGACTCAGGGGCCAGCAAAGCATTCAGAAGAACCCCGGGGGCTCAAGGGAGCATGTGAAGGCACTGGCCAGCCTGATACCTGCCTGCCTCTGACAGGGACCATGGGGTCCTAACAGCGTTGTGGTCAGCGTGTCTGTTTGTCCTTCCACTTCCAGCTCCCTTCCCTGCCTTTCTCCCTCATGCCCTCCTCCCTGGTACCCTCCCTTCCCTGCCCCTTCTCTCTCGCTGATGCCTTACTCTCCTGTGCATGTAGGACTAGGGGACAGGCAGGTCCCCGGACCTTGGGCCCACCTGATGCAGGAGACCTAGCTGGACAGAAGAAGCAGGCCGTGGAGGTCTGTCTTAAACCTGCACGTGTGCATACCTCTTGGGACCGTCTAGAGACGAGTTTAGGGGTGCAGGCACCGGCTTTGATGGGCACCTGCATACCGAATGCAACTGTCACTCCGCTGAGGAGGCATGACCACTAATTCACCACATCCTCTGTGCCCACAAAACTGGCAGCCGTGCCTAGTGGCAGCGGGCACCAAGGACTCAGCCATGCCTGTGTGGCAACGAGGCTAGGCTGATGATCGCACCAGGGGTGGTGGTGGGGGGGGATTGGTTCTGCCAGACTTTCCACTCCCCGGGGCCACAGTAGGCATAACAGTGCAGCACGTGCACCCCATCTGCAACACGTGTGCGGTCCTCGAGCACAGGCCTGTGTGTCGTGGGCTGGTGGCCAGGGGTGGGAACCCTGAAGTTTGTTGAGCCAGCATGGCGACGCCAGAAAGAGATTGGCCGTGCCCGTAGACGGTGCCTTGTGTCAACGGGAGGGAGGAACAGAAGGCGGCTGGGCTGAGTTCCAGGAGTGATGCGAGGGAGGCTTACAGCACTAGGGGCACACTGTGACAGCCTCTCCAGGTGCTCTTACACAGATGCTAAATGTCACAGGGTCTTGCGGGGCCTGAACACGCACCACAGGAAAAAAAACGTGCCATCTGAGTGATCCCGTGGGGCCTGTCCCACTAAGGGCCCCGGAAAGTGAGGGGCAGGCTCCGTAAAAAGTGGGCCAGGAGGGAAGGGATGCTGCGAGGGTCTGAGAAGAGGGGAACTGAGGTAGGGCCGTCTGTCGAGTAACGCCAGGCCTGAGAGAACGGGAAGGAAGCAGCGCTGTGCCCTGAGGTGTCCCATGCAGAGGCCCTCCCTGAGCAGGCAGTGGTGCACACTCTGCAGTCAAAGGTCCCAATTCCTATGCTAGGACAGCTGGAAACAGAGCTTTCCCAGGAGTCTCATTTCCTCCTGGGAAGGTCAGGGACAAAACACTCATTCTTAGACCCCAAAGACAGGAAGCAGTTACTCCTACATCAGAGCCAAGCCCCAGAGCTAAGCATTTTTTTTTTCCATGACACTGTTTGGACCTTGCGGCAATGTGATAAATACAGGTATAACGGTCCCATTCTGCAGAGCCATGACACACTACTTACTGCACACTCAGGAATCATTCCAGGTCTGTGTGACTACACCACGCCTGCCCTGCATTATTAGGCCCCATAGAGAGCTGAGAAGACCGTTGGGGCCACAAATCCCTTAGAGCTAGGAACCAAGGTACAGAGAGTAGAGGCTACCCTCTCACGGGTACACAGGTTAGTGGCAGTTAGGGCAACAGCCTGGAGTTTCTGGCTCCCTGAGTGCTGCCCCTTCCTGGCATTGCCAAGATGCTAGCCTGTGTCCCAGGGAAGCCAGAAGTGTCTGGAGGAAGAGGAGATACAGCCCTGGCCCAGGCAGGTAGATGTAAGGCTCCTCCTGGCTATGCTAGGGAGCTGGTCATTAGAAGCGAGGACTCCATAGCCAGGTTCCAGCTAAATAGCAGGTTCTTACCTGGAACTTCACTTCTCCAGCTAACGGGTCTGCTCCATCTAATCCAGCCCAGGGAGAAACAGAGGCCTCAGAGAAGACCTGTGACCTATGGGCTGCCTCTGGGGGCCCTTCCACTCTGTCCTCTCCAAATGGACTTGGGTGACGTAAGCAAAGGCCTAGAGGTACTGTGTTGGCTAGTTTTAAGTCAACTTGACACAAGCTAGAGTTATCTGAAAGGAAGGAACCTCTGTTGAGAAAAGGCCCCCATAAGACCAGGCTGTAGGGCATTTTCTCATTAGTGATTGACGGGGGAGGGCCCAGCCCATTGTGGGTGGTGCCAACCCTGGGCTGGTGGTCCTGGGTTCTATAAGAAAGCAGGCTGAGCAAGCCACAAGGAGCAAGCCAGTAAGCAGCACCCCTCCATGGCCTTTGCATCAGCTTTGGCCTCCAGGCTCCTGCCCTGCTTGACTTGCTGCCCTCACTGCTTTTAGTGATGAACCGTTACGAGGAACTGTGAGTGAAACATGAGCTCCTTCTTCCCCAGGTTGCTTTTGGTCATGGTGTTTCACCACAGCAATAGTAACTCTAAGACAGCAAGTCAACTGGGAACTGGCATAGAGCATAGACTCAGGTGAGTGGGGAACCCGGACCACAGCAGAGAACAGGTAGTAAGTCACGCTGACCGCTATGCTGGGCCTCTCAGTACCATACCCCAAAGACCATCAACCTCAGGCACTCGTGGCCCACGGGTTCCTGGGGACCAGTTTGCAGACGGAAGCACGAATGATTCCTGGGCTACACTGGTGTCTCGGTTGAGGAGAAGCCAGAGTTTGTTGAGCTCTGCATTGAGTGTAAGACTGAACAGAGGGAGGCTTGAGCCAAGCCCGCTCTTCAAGACTTCAGAAACAGACACCGGCCGTAGCACCAATTATTCCTTATATTTCGGGGCCAGACTGACGGCAGGGAATAGAGCTTGGGGGGCCCGGGAGAGAACAGGAAGCACCATGGATGGTCCTGCTCCTGTGGCCCCAAAGGGATCCTCAGAAGGTTAGTCGATGATGGGGCTGGAAGGTGGAAAACCCTGCCAGGCGGCGGCCCTTCAGTAGTCCTCAGAGAAGCATCCATAACAGTTCTCCAAAGCCTGGATCCACAGGGAAGGCTGGGCTGTGTGCTGGTGTGGCAAGCCAACAGGCATGGCTAAAACAGACCCCAGCAGGCCTGGAGTGTCCTGGGCAGTGGGCAGACTATGAATAGCCTCTCTGGGATACACTAGGCTAAGACACCACCTTAGGAAGCATCTTCTTCAGAGCATCCCCCCTGAGCAGGTACAAATGCCACAGTCACAGAAGCCCAGAGACCTCTGCCAGGCCTGGGCCCCGCCTACCATCTGGGCAGCAACATTACCACGGAAGGGCAAAACAGACAGGTAGGGGAGATGAGAAAAAGGGCACAAAGGACAGGGCTGGAGCTGGAAAGATGGCTCGGCCTCGAAGAGCACACATTGCTTTCCCGGAGGGCATACGGCGTTCTGTTTCCAGCACCCGTGTGGGACCACTCACACCTCCTGGAACTCCAGCTCGAGGAGAATCTGAGGCCTCTAGCCTCTGTGGGCACTTTACTCACGTGCACATACCCACACACAAACACACGCATCTACACATCATTAAAAATAAGTCTTAAGGGGAAAAAAAAAGTACAGGGCTGCAAGGAAGCTCCCAGAACGCAATGGTCACCTCCTCCCTGCAGCTCAGGCCAGGTCCTCGTGCAGGATTCGGCCACTGCCGTGGTGATGCAGTCCTGCAACCGGCACCCAAACCCCCACCGCACTGCACTCACCCCACCCCACCCCACCCCACCCCACCCATCCCGCTCATCCACAAGCTGACGAGTCCTAACAGGCCTCCTTTGCCAGTGACAAAAATAACTATTTTCAAATTTCACAGCAGGGCCTTCGCCTACACACACTGCGCCGACTGGAACCTGAAGGGAGATATGCAGAACGCAGTGTGCGGATGGAGCGGTGTGATGCAGCAAGCAGGCTTTACAAACACCACCCCCTCCTCGCCACACACCGAGCCTGCGTCCCCCAGATGCAAATGTGCACAGTGGTGCTCAGAAGGACCAGAGGTAAAGACTCTGGGATCATCCACTGTACACTTAGGCCCAGAGAGGGTCAGGGGTTTGCATACAGCCACACAGTGAACCTGTGACAGGGGCTCCCTTCCCTGTTTCCCTTGGCTAACCGTGAGCTCACACAGGGCCCCCAGGACACACACACATGTGCATACACATAGACCAGCATCTCTTGCCTGTGGGTAATGGCACTTTAATCAAGTTCACAGGCTCCCCTGCAAACACTAGCTTGGTCAGTTTTCTACAGCACTGTGAGGTAGGCCGAGCCAGGGCTAGTATTTCCCTGTCCCTTTGCAAGTAGGGAAATCAAGGCCCTGAGGGAAAAGGACTGTGCCCAAGGCCAAAGGAGATGATTGGTTCAAAGACTTTTTTTCACAGCTGTCTCTCCCACCCTCACTATGCAGCTGCTCAGGGCCCAGCCAGGTTCCCCTGGATGCTGGGGACAAAACAGAGGCACGTTCCACTAGGTTGCCACATCTTGCGGCTCCAGGAATGTAAAGGTTCTCATACCCTCTACTGCCCATTTTCATTGAGTTCCTTTAACAGAGCAGCCAGCTGGCCATGCTCCAGCTGATATCCAAGAGCACCACAGAGACCTGGAAAGAGGGTCACGGCCTCATGTCATCTGGAAGGTGGCAAGGTCAACAAGGAACTCTGCCATGGCCCCAGTCACAGGCACACACTGGAGTCATAAAGTCACCAGAGCTCATCTTAGAGGTGAGGAGACTGAGGCAGAAGGCTGCTGTAGGTAACCTGAGGTCACGGAACAAACATATCAGGAGAGAGGCAGGACCCGGACCCAGGCATCCCAGCCTGCTCGGTGCCCACCCCCAAGTCCCACACTATTCAGCTAAGGGCTTCTGTGCTCTCCCCAGACATGCCTGCAGATGAGACTTGACCTTGGCCTTCTCCCTGAGAAGCAGCATTGGGGACAGTATCTGAGGGGGAACTGAGATTCCCTGCCACCCCCAGCCGTCAGATCCGATGGGACATCAGCCTGGTGTTGAGTTTACGGAAAAAAGATCGAAGCTTGCAAATCTTGCATTTCTTCTTGCGGCGGCCCCGGGAGAAACTTCGAGCCCTGCCTTCCTCCTCCTCCTCATCATCATCCTCATCCTCATCACTGGCCCAGGGCCCCCAAGCGCCCCCATTAAAGTCAGGATGGGCCCGAGGGTTCGCAGCTGGGTAACGCACGGGGATGGCGGTCCGGTTATAATCAGCAAGGCGAGCCAGCAGGGTGCGGACTACATCAGGTCGCTGGCCAGCCAGGTCCTCTCGTTCATAAGGGTCAGCACTGATGTTAAAGAGCCACACAGCCTGGCGGATGCTGGCCATCCGCTCCAGGTTCCACCAGCTGCCGGGGAAGGAGGCCAGCGTCTGCGGTGGAATCCAGTCACCATAGCCGGGGTCTCCGGTGAGCAGCTTCCACTCTCCCACCCGGATAGCAGCCTGAACAGCTGTATTCCAGATGCCAAAGCCACCCTCCAAGGAGCCATGCCGGGCATGGTTGTAGAGGGGGTCGATGTTGTGTAGGATCTCTGTGCGTGGTGAGGCCCGGCCCTCACTAATGGCTGGCCAGACATCGTAGCCATCCAGTCCATCAGCTGCTGATGTAGTACCACCGGCCAGACCCACCAGTGTTGGGTACCAGTCCGTGATATGCACCAGGGCCCGACTGGTCCGTCTCTTTTTCTTGAGCAGGGGGCTGTGGACAAAACCCAGGCCCCTCACACCACCTTCCCAGTACGTGCCCTTGCGTCCTCGAAGGGGCCAGTTGCTACCTCCTGAGAAAGTCTGGCCACCATTGTCACTGGAGAAGATAATGACGCTGTTGTTATAGAAACCATAGCGCTTGAGGGCCCAGGTGATGTTGCGAACAGCCTCGTCCATGCAGGTCACCATGGCTGCGTACTTGCGCCGAGCTACATTGCCCATCGTGCGATAGCGGTACAGGTACTCCCGGGGTGACTGTAAGGGTGTGTGTACCGCCTGGAAGGCCACGTAGAGGAACAGGGGGTTCTGAGGGCTGTGGCTGGCAAGGATGTGGCTGGCACGCTGAGCATAGAGCTTAGTGGAGTACTGGCCGCTGAGACCCCAAGCCACACTCTCACCCTCATGCAGGTCGAAACCACAAACCCCTGGGCCGTCACAGTTGTCATAGGTATAGTAGTCCACATTGCCTGTGAGGGAGCCCAGGAAGGTGTCAAAGCCCCTGCGGGTAGGCAAGCACTCCTTCCTGTAGAAGCCCAGATGCCACTTGCCCACCATGTGGGTGGAGTACCCTGCTTCCTGCAACTTCTGGGGCAGCGTCACCTGGTCCAGAGGCAGACAGTTGGGTTGCCGTGGGCGGATGATGGAGTGTTGCAATCCTGTGTGGATCTGGTACCTGGGGGTGGGGGGTGGATACATGGGAAATGCAAGTGAGCAACAGACCACCACTCCCAATCACCAACCCACAGTAGCAACCGGAGATGGTCCCCTGGTCCAGTGCCACCAACAAGAACAGCAACAAAAGCACCAGATACTGCCAAAGGCCTAAGCGCCTACACACGTTCATTATCTCCAGTCATCACATCAATGAAGTAGGTATGCCAGCTTATTGACGAGACACAATAATGGCCGCTCAGAACAGTTGAGGGGCTACCCGGGACCACCCAGCCAGGAAGTTAGTGCATTAGGAGTTGAGCCAGGCTTGCTAACCACAACAGTAAGAGCTAACACCCAGTTCTGGCCATGTGGTTCAGCATCACACCGCCCTTGGAATCTCGCTCACCAAAATCCTCGCCACAAACTAGGAAGTACACATTATTGTTATTCCCACCTCCCAAATAAGGAAGCTGAAGCTGGATGATTCGATTCACATGACTAGTACAAAGAGTAGGCTGAGTATCCCAGCAGAGGCTCCAGACCCGAGTCCCTGAGCTCTAGGCTCTAAACTTAGAACACAGCCTGGGTACACCAAGTCCTGGTCTCCCAGGCAAACCCCTACTCCTTGGAAGCTCATTCCCTGAAGTTTCTTACAACTCACTCAAAGGACGAGTTAGTTTATTTCTGGCTCCCCTTCCTCCCTGCACCAGGGATTTGGTTCACACTGTCACTGTCTACTTGGCCCTGGAACTACAATTGTGTATGCTCTTGGGCCCAATGACACACGACAGGGTTGTCTTTGTATTCCTAGCACCCCAGTGATACGTAAAGCTCACTCAGTTACTTTTGGGGTGGATGGATGGATGGATGGATGGATGGATGGATGGATGGATGGACGGATGGGCAGGCAAGTGAATGAACGAACTCAGACAGTATGGGAGTCAGAAGTGAACTAAGGGCTCTTCTAGGTTTTTCATCTACTTTAAAAAAAAAAAAAAAAAAAAAAGCGCCGGGCGGTGGTGGCGCACGCCTTTAATCCCAGCACTCGGGAGGCAGAGCCAGGCGGATCTCTGTGAGTTCGAGGCCAGCCTGGTCTCCAAAGCGAGTTCCAGGGGCGCAAAGCTACACAGAGAAACCCTGTCTCGAAAAACCAAAAAAAAAAAAAAAAAAAAAAAAAAGCAACAACAGGGGCTGGAGAGATGGCTCAGTGGTTAAGAGCACTGGCTGCTCTTCCAAAGGACCTGAGTTCAATTCCCAGCACCCACATGACAGCTCACAACTGTCTGTAACTCCAAGATCTGACATCCTTACACAGACATGCATGCAGGCAAAACACCAATGCACATAAAATAAAACTAAATAATTTGCTTTAAAAAGCAACAACCAAGATCCAGAGGAAGGCTTTGCTCAAGGTCACTCAGCAGTCAGGGCCAGTGCTGAGACTTGAGTCCAAGCAGTCTGAGCAGCAGTGTGCCCACCTCCTCACAAGGGGGACCAGTTTACAAGTATGAGTGAGCTGGCTGGGATGGGAAATCCCTGAGAAGCACCCCACTCCAGGCTTTATGACTTTAAAGGGGCACCCTGCACCCAGGCCAATGCATCAGTAAACCGCCTCGCAGCATCCTGGAGTTCCTTTATTCACTCGTATCCCATCTTCCGCTGCTGTGGTCAGAGACCCGTGTGATCTGCTTAAGATGTCTTAAAAGTTGCAAGTAAATAAGCCAACTGGAATGTCACAAGGGAGTTAGAATCCCACACCTTTCCTGACCCCTAGGCAGCTGAGTTAGCCAGTGCCTGAGTACTTGATATTTGACACCAGCTTTTCCTTATCTTAAGGCCATTCTTAAGACTTTGTGCCACACATTCATTTAATTCTCCCCCTGACCGTGTGTGTGTGTGTGTGTGTGTGTGTGTGTGTGTGTGTGCCCTTTGTGTGTGATGTGCGTGCATGCGTGTGTGTGTGCGTGTGCACTTTGTGTGTGATGTGCATGCATGGCTGGGGCCTACTCATGCCAAGGCATGCACATGTCAAGTCAGAGGACACCTTTCCAGAGTCAGCTCTCTTTCCACAGTGGGTTCCAGGAATTGAACTCAGGTCGCCAGGCTTATACAGCAAGCACCTGTACCTGCTGAGCCATCTCACCAACCTAAACCTCTTTTGTGAAATACATGCGGAACATTATCACAATCCCCAGTCTACAAATAATGAAACTGAACCTCCCCCCGCAAGTGTAACATGTGACCCAAAGTCAGACAGCTGGCAAACAGAACTGTTTTAAACCCAGATCTACCCAACTCATGCTCAAAATGTGTGATACAGCTTCTCCAGGCCTCAGGCACACTGAGAAATGATTGGCTTTGACAGGAGAAGCAACCTAGGGCCCAGACTCCCAGCTGAGAGTCTCAGTATAAGGGCGGGGTGCCTGAAGCATCGATTTGTAATGTGGGTGGGCCAGCTAAGCCTTGCCAAAGTCCATTTGTCAGTGAGTAACATGAGAAACGTTGGCTCTCTCCAGTTCCACTGAACAGGACTGCAGAAGTCACGGAGTAAGTAAGCATCTGGTCAGATAGAGGCAGCTGCAGAGGGCGGCTGGGAGTCCCCGGCTGGCCCTGTAACGCTCTGCTAACTTTACCAATAAGAGCCTGGAGCGCTGCCCTGGCTACCCATTCAGCTGCTTACCAGAGTTATGCTGCTGGGGGAGAGAGAGACACAACGCTAAAACTCTGAATGCAGATTCTCCTCCCTCTTCAGGGGGTGAGTCACTGTCCCCTGCCAGGGTCCAACGCCACACCTGCGACACAAACCTCCCTCCCCTCTCCCTCTTCCGGCTCTTCTTCAGTCCCTGGATCTAAAGGCAGGATACTGATGGGAAGAGGAAAGGCACCACCATTTGATGTCCAGCCCCATGACATCAGCTACTGACGTCGCAACCCTCTCACCTGAAAGTGGGCAGAGGCACCAAGCTGGCTTTTCCCTGATTCCATGCCTCATTGTCCCACCCAGGAAACAGGGAGAGATGGGCTCAGGCCCTGAGATCTCAGTAGTGATGCCAAAGCTCGCCACAGCTTCCCTTCCGGGAAGAATTAGCTCCAGCTCAGTCCAAGGATTTTCTTCTAAGGGAAGGGAGTTTGCCTCCCACAGCCCCGCTCCTGCTTCCCAACTCTTATACAATTGGAATCCCCAGCACCGCCAGGGAACAGCTCATTGCAAGAGGATGCAACGCTGCGGAGGAATCTTCCATGAGAAACTTGGGGACTTGGAGAAGGGAAGCCACCAGCCTTAGCTTAAGGTCCCATCTCACCAGTTCCTTGGTCTTCTCCCAATGGAGCCATGAACGTCATGGGACCAGAATCTTTCCAGTAATAAATTCAGAGGCTGCCATTTATTGAGAGTCAGGAAGGTTCCATATAGACCATCCCCCTCCCACCACTCCTTCTCAAGATAGAAACTGTCCTTAGCTCCATTTTATGGACAAGGAAACTGAAAGTTCAGTGACTTTTCCAACGGACTCCACATCTGTCAATATACACAGAACTCAAAATAAGAGTAAACGGTTCCTCTGATGAAGAAGGGAACAGACGTGTGGAACGTGAGTATCCTAGAACTGCAGAGTAGGACTCCAAGACGATCAGAAGCACTGAATATGAGGGTTGGGAAACTGAGGCCCAAAACAGGCAAGGGACTTACCGATGATCTAATGGACGTCACAGGCAAAGCTGGTCCCACAACACGTGCTTCTGGGGTCCCTGCACAGGGCTATTCCGCAGGGTCTGCAGCCTACCAACCGGGTGCTTTGGGGATTTGGACACCCAGTCCCTAGGGTCTGGGCTGTGCCTACCTGCCAGTGAGGAGTTGGCTCCGAGAAGGCGTACATATGGGCTGGATGTAGTAATTCTCCAGCTTGACGCCCTCAGCTGCCAGCCGGTCCAGAGTTGGGGTCTCGATATCTGAGCCGTGGTAGCCCACGTCGTGGTACCCTTGGTCGTCGGTGAGGATGAAGATAATGTGAGGAGGCTGCGGTGGAGCCGCTGAAGGCTGATCGCCGGCCTCCGCAGGCCCATCAGCCACGAGGCCCGGCTTGGCCCAATCCCAGGACAGGTAGCCCAAGCTGAGCAGGCTGACCAGGGAGAATCCAGAGAGGGCGTGCATCGCGACGCCGAGCCGGGCGCGGGGCTCCCAGGGCCTCAGAGCCTCCCGCGCCAGGGACGCACCGCCGGCCCGTCCGCCCTCCGGGATGCAGTGAGAGGCCCCCGGGGGGTCTCGTCCGGCACCCGCGGCGGAACAGCAGGGCGCCCCGGGAAGGCCGGGCTCGCGCCAAGCAGCCTCCCGCAGCCCCCGCTCCCTCTTCCCCAGCTCAGCCTGGCCAGCCCGAGTCGCGGAGTGGCGGCTTCCCAAAAGTGCTCTCCACCATCCCGGGACTTCCCTCTGTCTTTTTACCCCGATCCCTCCCGCCTCTTAATTTCTCTCGCTTCTGCTTCCCCTTTCTCCTCCCTCCCCGACCCCCAATTCCCCCCAGCTGAGCTTCTGACCCCGCCCGGAGTCACCGCAAAGCAATGCTCCCTGCAGGGAGGTGGGCAGGACCCCACAGGGGAAGGGGAGGGAGACAGGGGCTGGGCGGGTCTGGGAAGGGACACAGTCCAAGAGAGGGCGAAAAAGTTGTGACATCTGCCGAGCTGAGCCCCAGGTGAAGGGGTTGGATGCCGAAAAGGGCCCCGCCCCACGGGCAGGGAGCCCAGGCCCCGTGCGGCCGCCAGCTCTAAGGCCTGCTCCTGGCCAGGACTAGCCAGAGAAGGGAGGGGGATTGCTTGGAATTCAGTGGAACAATTCCGGAATGGTCCGGCCAGACATTCCTTGATCATGGAGTCTTAGCATATGAATGCCAGCCCTAGAGGAGTCATTTTCCAAGCCAACTAGGTCATTTCTAGAGATGGAGAGACCGAGGTCCTGAGATGACAAGGAGCTCACTCGGCTGGGTCTCAGAGCAAGCAAGGTTCTGCTTGAGTGGCAGCTCCCTTCTGGCTCTGGCAGCTTCCCTTCCCTCCACTTCTCGCCTTTCTCACACCACTTCTCAGCTAGTCCGTAGGGTACTTACTAGGGTGCACGCCCCGGTCTAGACGGCAGAGGTGTTGTATACATCTTTTATCTACGGGCTCCCTCCATGTTACAGTGGGAGCTCAACCCTGTGTGTTGCATGAATGAATGCAATGAGTGAATGGATAAATGGGCTTCCAAGATCACCCAGGCCAACTCCCCTCCCAGAAGGTAAGCTGGCAGGGTCAAGCCAAGTGTTATGGTAAGACAGGGGCAGCTGTTCCAATGGTTAAGTGTTTGCAACCAACTTTAAGTACCATTTAGGCCACAGCAAACCTAGCTGAGCACCAAGTGCCCATTTGCAACGTTGGGTTATAAGCGCCCCTGAGGGTGCAGCGAAACTACTGAACTGGACCACTCCATGGATACAAAGAAGAAAGGTTTATTGTAACTATGAAACTGCTGTGTGCCTATCTCTCAGGTTGTACAGAAAGGATAGCCAGAGACATTTGGGGCGGGGTGGGGGTGGGGTGGGGGGGTGGGGATTGGTGAGGGAGTGGGGTGGTGAGTCCAGAGCCGCGTGGCTACAGGGTTGAGGGTGGGGGGAGGCTGGTGACTGCCAGGGCTATCTCAGGTGCAGAGAGAAACCTTACTGGTTGTGAAGGAAACCTGCTGGGATGGGGGAGGGGGGCTCGAGCCTGTAGCCTGGAACAGCCTGGGAGTTTGCATAGTGGAGGGGGTAAGAGGAGCCAGGAGGGGGGCTTGTGGGCCAGAAGAGCCCAGTGGCTTTGAGATGCATGACGGTACGTGTCAACAGGGACCAAAGGACCCTGGAGGTTAGCATGGGTTTTGATATGTACCGCAGGCATATGCCAATAGAGAACCAGATGCCCCATTCGCCACAGGCCCGGGAGATAGGGAAGTGGCTCTTCCTGGCAGACAAAAAACCCATTTCACAGGTTTCTGACGAATGCTGAGAGTAGGCGTTTGTCTCCTCCAGCAATCCTTCTCGTTTCCCCGTCAGCCTCCAGCCTGAGCTAACCACAGACGGTCATTCTGGACATAACCGCGGTGCTCTTATGGGGGGAGTGGGACCCTAATGTGGCTCTACCTAAGTTTCCATTTTTTATTAAGCTGTATTTATTTAGTTTGTTCTCCATGTGTGTGTGTGTGTATGTGGGTGGGTGTGAGACTGCCATGACCCTCGCATGGAGGACAGAAGACAACGTGGGGTCAAACTTGGGTCATCAGACTTGTAGCTTGGTGGCAAGTGCCTTTCCCTGCTGAGCCATCCTGCTGGCCTTTCGGCTGCTTCTTTGTTCGCAGGACCCCCGCTGGCCACCAAAGGGGATGAGCGAGGGCAAACTGCCCTCTACTGTGTGACAATGACATGCTCTTCTTGAGGGTATCAGGATCTTAGGAACAAAGACTCCCAGGTACGTCTTCCCCTCCTCGCACCTTTTCCCTGCCAAGATTCCTCCTCTCTTACTGAAAACCACTGTGTGTGGAAGGAAACCAGACCTCCAAAATAGCAGCCCAATTTGAATCTGCATTTGGAAATGAGGGCTGCGTGGGGCCAGTGCTCCCGTTTGCTCCAAGCCCCATATTTAGGGTGACCAGATTTATCAGAAGGGAAAGCGGCCTGTTGTTCTGGCGACAGACATGTTGAGGACAGACAGGAAAAGTACAGCCTCCTGAGGGGTGGGTTGCTAAAATGGTGCTTCTGGAGGCTTCAGCAAGGTTGTCCTGGGTGACAAGGTGAGGCGGACAAGTCACTAGAGGTCACGGGGACCTCTACATTTGTCCCAGACCACTGGCCAAGGTGGCCTTCCTCTTGCTCATACAAAAAGAGAGATGGTAAGGTGAACAGGCTGGAGTTTTTAGTCTGTCCCCTCAAAACAGTCTGAGAGCATAGGATCACAGGCTGCATATCTCCACGGGGCTGCACAGACGATATTTTAAGGGACAAGATCGTGGCTATAACATGAGCCTGTTTAAGTTCAAATCCCGCCACTTATTTAGAGTCTGGCTTTGACAAGTTATTTTATTTTCCTCCCTATCTACTTCTCCATCTGTGAAATGGGATAATGAGAAATGGGAAATGAGATCCACTAACACGGTCCGTGAAGTGTCCTGCTCAGAGTCAGCACTCACTGGCTGTGGATGGTTAATTGCTCTGCTTCCTCCTTTTGAGAACTGACTCTTGTGGGTTAAAGTCACAGGCAGACAAATTCCAGGCCAATGTAAGGGATTACTTTTGTAAGCATTCTGGCAGCTTGCTTAACAAAAGGACATCCGCGGCGGGTGAATGACCAGTGAAGAGAGGTGGGTGGAGCACTGCGGGGACCCAGCTCTTGTTTCCCAATATTCCTACTTCTTTTAGGAGTCTTTTGGTAATCCCTAAAACCTAGAATGGAAACCCAGAGTGTGTCTCAGAAGTCATCGTTCCCCATCAAAGCTCTAGAGAAATAAAGGCAGACCCAAGTCTCCTTCTTAAAATACCATTACAGCTGCCAGGCTGGAATATTTCAGGCAGACTTTTCCAAAGGCTCAGAGACCACAGGGTGGAAATAAACACACAGTGAAATGCAGATCCAGGTCATGTGGCTTTCAGGATGAGCTGGTTATCTTTTATGTCTTTCCCAGGGTACTTGCCCTCTTTCCTGAGACGAAGTCCATCGGCGCTCCTCTCTCTCTCTCTCTCTCTCTCTCTCTCTCTCTCTCTCTCTCTCTCTCTCTCTCTCTCTCTCATACACACACACACACACACACACACACACACACACACACACACACACACACAATTTTAAGGTATCTCAAGTCTGCGGCCACTCTCTGAGTGATTAAATCAGACTTTACACATTCTTTTGTTGTTGTTTGTTTGTTGGTTTTTTTTTTTTTTTGTTTTTTTTGGTTTTTCGAGACAGGGTTTCTCTGTGTAGCTTTGCGCCTTTCCTGGAACTCACTTGGTAGCCCAGGCTGGCCTCAAACTCACAGAGATCTGCCTGGCTCTGCCTCCCGAGTGCTGGGATTAAAGGCGTACGCCACCACCGCCCGGCGTTTGTTGTTTTTTCAAGACAGAATTTCTCTGTGTAATAGCTCTGGCTATCCTAGAACTCACTTTGTAGACCAGGCTGGCCTGGAATTCAGAGATCCATCTGCCTCTGCCTCCCAAGTGCTGGGATTAAAGGCATGCGCCACCACCATCCGGCCAGACTTTGGACTTTCTCATGCCTCCAGACCTGGCTGCTTCCTAAATGATTGCCATCATGGATGCCCACCTCTCTCAGGTGATAGCAGCCTCCCATTCACATAAGTGTGTTCTTATCCCTTACCCCCCACAAGACATCCACATCAAAACACTGCAAGAAACTTAACATCTTCCCACGAAATGCAGATCAGACCTGGCAGGGGTGTAGCTCTGTTACTTCCTAGCTGTCAGAGATTTCATTTCCACCCATGAAGTTAGACTCAGAAAAAAAGAGAGTTTCCCCCATTCCCAGATCTAGTCAAGAAAGGAGTAAGATGCCCACCCGTCTAGAAGTGAGGTTCCTGAATCCAAATGGAAAGCTATGTGAAAGGACTTTGAAAGGTCTTTCGTACTTAAAGGTGTCATTCTTCTAATCATTCGCCTCCAAGGCAGCTTCTTAGGGTGCAAAGAGAGTGAAGTGAAAAACTGGATGAGTCTGTTTAGTGACTCTGTCACTGCCATATCTGTGCATGTGTGTGTGTACACATGCACACACACAGCATGCATGCGTGTGAGTAGAGAGATATATGTATATTTAGTCATCTTTAACTAAAGTGATCTTATTTTATATATAGCTAGATAGAGCCTTCTGGTTATAGTCCTTGGCAAAGACCCTACCTACCAATCGTGCGTGCCGACATTGTCTCACTGAAGGGCATTTGTCTGGACTGGACTCTATACAGAGACTTACAAGATTGACAACAGGCCTCTGACAGTCAGCAATGTCACAGAATTCAATCCCTTACCTAGGAAGGGAGCTCCTCAAGCCTTCCTCATTCTAAGCCTCTGCCTCTTACTTTGTACACGATTCTTGCAAGGATGTCATTTTTATTCCCAGTTCCTGAGTATCATACACAGCTCAGAGGACACATGTAAAGGTGGCTGGAGGCAATTGTCTATCTTATAATAACATAGGCACACAGAAAAAGCATTAGAGAGAAATACAGGAATAAACAAAATCAAACAGATAATTCCAAAATCCAGAAGCCTAGGAATTTGGGAGCACATGATGCTGTAGCAGAGACCCATGTAACAGAGCCAGGGGCCTTACCCAGCACAGAGGAAGTGATGCGGGATTTGAATCCTATTCTAGAGACTG